GGTCACGAATCCGATTTTTTATCTTTTTCTTTGATGAATAGGCATAGAAACCCTTGTTTTGTGTTTGTGTTGATGATGTGATGTCTTTGTGAGGATGTGCTTAATCGAGCTTGGGAAACCTGAATTTTCCTGCAACAAAAATCACAGAGAAAAAGATGCGAATGCGTATGCCAGCGATGCGAATGCACATGCTCATGCAAAAGGCAAAAGGGAGGTCAATTTTTGGGTTTCAACACTAACACAAAGAGATCGTCACATGCTAAAAAGAGACTTTGATCTAACACAAAGAAATCATCACATTTGAACAAAGTTGCTTGGATTTAACACAAAGAGGTCCTCGAACTACTGAAAAGTTTGATGTTAAGATCTACCACAAAGATACCTTCACATGTTGGGGATGATGCTAAGATCTAACACAAAGAGATCCTTACATTTTTAGAAGTTAAAAGTTCTGATCTGACACAAAGAGATCTTTACATTGCTGAAAATGAAAAACTAAGATCTAACACAAAGAGATTTTCACATTGCTGAAAATGAAAAACTAAGATCTAACACAAAGAGATCTTTGTACTGTTAATGTTGAATTATGTTTATTATTGTTTACCTGAAGTCTGTTATTTTAGATCAAACATAAAAATTCTCTAGGGAACAAGAAGATCCTGGAGATTTTTTAGGGAATGAAAGGTTAAAACTAACCAAGAGGTTTATCATTTACTTTCAACCATCAGACCGAATGGTCCAATCTGTATGCTTCTTTAGAGAGTAAATCAATACAGAACACTGACTCTGCCGGGAATTGACAAAAGTAATCTGTTGAGGAATACAAGAGACTCTCTAGGGAATAAATACATATGAGATTTGCTTGAGAGATACTGAGAATCATTATGTAAAGCTTGTCTATTTTAGGGAACTCTTGTCCATTTAGACGTGCTATGGAGATTGCTGGCTTGAGCTATCCTTGTGAAGAGATGTTCATCTAAAACAAACACTTTGAAGAGACTTGATGAGGATAAAGCTTCTGGGGATACCTTTCTAAGGAATCCTGCTGATATGAAACTCGTCTGGTGAGTTCATGAAGTTTTGCCGGTGAAAATTCCAAAGGAAACTCTGTAGGGAGATATCTACTAGGAAAGCCAAGTAGAATTTCCGTTGACACCAGGGTTCAGTTGGGGAATATCAATTACTTCGATGGGGAAGAAAACTCGCCTTAAGAGTCAACATCATTATTAATTGACTTTTGAAAGCAACTTTCACTGAAGAAGAGAATTGTTCTATTATCTAGAATAACTCTTGAACCTTGATTTTGCTGAAGATTACACTGAACTTCCTTGAGAGGTTACTGAACATGGGCTGAGGTCTGTGTATGTGTGATCTATGCATGATATGTAAGAAGAAAATAAATGCATGAATATGGTGGTTTATGCATTTAGTGGATATCAAACTCTGATTCCCCGACATCCTTGGCCTAAATAGTTTTGATACCATGAAGATGTGTTGTGAAAACCCTAATTTATGCTTTGCCGTTTGGATAGCTTTAGTAGGACTATTGTTTTCTGGATGAATAGCCATTTCTAACTTGATTTAGATCAAAATGATCAATAATATGATTCATGTCTTGTGAACTTATCGTGCCCCAATCTGCTGAGCCTTTAAAAAAAAACTTCCCTAGAAAAGGAATTTGACAGTTGTTTTCCAAAATGTAACTCTAAGATGGCTTGCCTCAGTATACTGAAACCTGCTGCAGTATGCCTCTAGTTGAACGAATTTTGGAATGGTCAACTTCAATGTACTATGTAAGCAGCTTGCCCTAGTATGAGCCTTGGAGATACCTGTTGAGTCTCGAAGTGATTTCCCCATATTCACTAAATATTAAAATAGCTTGCACCAGGCTGATTGCCCATTGGAAGGATTTCCTTGATGCTACACCGAGGATTGGCCATGTCCTTGCACATTTTCCCTACACAGAGGGAATCAGGCGACCGAGCCCTCCCGTGTGTATCTTGACTTTCATGTAACAGATAACATTATCTTCTGCCCATAAGACGGTTACCGTGAGACGCAATAGATGGACATTGTTTTGTTATACTCTGGACGACTAACTTGTGGGTCAACTCTGATGTCTATGTATCTTCCCGAGCGAGTGATGCATTAATTTGGATATTTGCAGGTTATTCTGAGACACCCCTCAGAGCCTGCTCCTCCCACCATCCAAGTAGAGATCTTGATACCGTACTTGGAGATTTTGAGAGTTATTTAGTACCAGGGGATTATCATAGAGTTCCAGCTCTTGTACAATAGATTTATGCAAACGGTTACATGACATGGTTCTATAGGGTACCACATCATATAATGATACCAAACTCACTTGGAAGACCACCTAGGCCATCTAATCATAAGGTACTAGAGGCTAGGTATGACCACACACAAGACTTAAACAACGTTTGTCAGCGTATTATGGATATGACAAGATCAAACATTGAGGTATGAGTTTTTTGAGGATGACAGTCCCTAATTGGACCTCGTAGAAGACATTATTTTCAAGGCATGAAATGCCTTGCAGTACAGGTGGAGAAGCCAGACGATTAGATATATTTAGTAGTTTATGTTTGGTTATATATATATATATATATATATATATATATATATATATATATATATATATATATATATATATATATATATATATATATATATATATATATATATATATATATATATATATATATATATATATATATATATATATATATATATATATATATATATATATATATATATATATATATATATATATATATATATATATATATATATTTGCATTTTCGAACAAATGTTTTATATGGTCGTTACATTATAAATTTACTTTGATTAGTGAATGACCCTTTTAGTGTATGTGTAGCATATTTGAATCAATTAATGTACGTATTTCTAATTTATAAACTAAAATGATCGAAAATATAAGGTGACCTTAAAAATGCCAAAGTTAGGACAATGTTACTGCCTATAATGTATTTAAGGGGATTTTCGAAGATGTATCTTCGAAGTATTCCTTCATGTGTGGTAAACATGTTTCCAATAACTTAAAATGAATTTAGAAAATTTTATGAAAATGCATTTTCAAATTCACTGCAAAAACTTTACGGAGATGCATCTTCAGCCAAATTTTAACAAAAATGGAACGTGTGACTAAATTATAAAAATTTATATATTTATAAATACGTCTAAAAATACATTTTCAAATATTTTTAGAATTTCAAAAGAGTGGGACACACTCTTTAAAATGAGATAAATATTTCTCTTTAATTTTATCTTTTTAATTTTCTTTTAGGGTAAATATATACTTTTTATTTTAATATTATAGAATCAACGTTTTCAAATAAAAGTTTTTGAGTTTATAAAAAATAATTTTAAATAACTTTTACTATTTTAGATTATTTTATAAACATTATTTTTGGAAATATATAAAGTATTTTTTAAAAGCAATTTTTTCATATATTTTTCAAAAAAATATTTAAAAAATCCACTTTTTTCAGACCATAGCATTAATGACAACTGAACATTTGACAGCTTGACATGTTCCCTTTTATTTTACCAAATAGAGAAGTCTAGTTAGTTATGATTTTTGCCATATTTGAGTCCAGAACCATCAGCTTGATTAAATTTATTAGGTTAAAATTTATCTCATCAAACTTAATGTCCATGTAGTAGATTTACCCATTCAATTATATTGCAAATATAGCAACTGAAAAATAGTGTCCGTCACGCCTTTTGGACTTTTGTGTTACACTCCTAAACTATCCTAGTAATATAAATAAAAACTTTATTATCATTATTATTATTATTATTTATTAAATAAATAAATAAATAAAACATGCTGATTTGGAGGAGCTTAGAATTAGTGTTACTATGTAAAACTAAGGACTTGGTCAGCTCAAAATAAGTGGACGGCAACGAATTTTTCACCACCCCTTTCACATTCTCCACCACTAAGGTTGAAAATTAAAACTAAAAAAATAAGTTTGAACTTTGTCATATAAAGACTAATCAAAACTTAGGGAAACGAATTACTAAAATAATAAAAAATTAAAAAACGATAGACACATTTTGGCTTTTTAGCGCATTACTTTGCGCTTGTCTGTTAATACAGCGTGACACTTCCTCTTAACTTTTCTCAACTTTTTCTTTTACCGTAGCAGTAATAAATAATAAAAGAAAATTAAATAAATGATAATAATTAATAATAATAATAATAAACAAATATATTTCAATTATTTCTGAGTAGATGGTAAGGTTCCAGTTGTCAGGTTGTTGTGAATGTTTATTGAAAATTAAAAAAAGTTGTTGGAAAAAAAAAAAGGAAAAATCGTGTGTTACATGTTTTTGTTACATTTTTATCAATGATAGCATTTAATATTGTTACTAACTCTATGGTTTTTAATTCATGATGATCATGAATAATGATGATTGATCTTTTCCCATATTTGAAAGCACTTTTTTTTTTGGTATGTTTGACGGATAAAAGTGCTTTCTGGGTAATATTCCTGTTGAGTTAAGCTTTAACAATTAATTTTTAATTGAAAAGAAAAAAGAAAAAATTATTTAGGTTTTTGAAACTCCGTTTTGTTGAGTTTTTGGACTCATCCAAACAGGTCATAACATAACATAGTGTTCTTTGTTTCTCTTTCTATTTCTATTTCTATTTCTCTCAGTGATATAAACAAACAGTTTGTTTACGTATAGATTTGCTCCGAATGTCGCAATTCTTTTACGACGCATTGCTTTGCTTTCTTCCTCCACGCGTCTTTCACCGTCATTGTTTCTCGTTTTCATCTCATTTTCTGACAATGAGATCAAAGTTTTAGAACTCTTTCTTTTTTCGTCGATTTTCGTGTGTGTTGTTGTTGGTTAAGGTTTGATTTCTCAGATTTCTGTGAGATTTCTGAAGATTTCTCAGAGATTTCTGTGAGATTTCTGTGAGATTTCTGAGATCAGAAGGTGAAATGGCATCTTTGTTCGATTGGGGTGCGAAAGACAGTCATAGAGGAACACCGGTGGTTGTGAAAATGGAGAATCCGAATTGGTCCATGGTTGAACTCGAAGGTCCTTCAGAGGAAGATCTTCTCTTGACAAACCCTTCTTCAAGAGACAAAGGAAGAGGAAAAAACGCCAAACAACTCACTTGGGTTCTTCTCCTGAAAGCTCATAGAGCTGCGGGTTGTTTAACTTCAATAGCGCCTGCATTGTATGGACTTGTCTCCGCCGTGAAACGCCGTGTGGCTTCCGGAAGAACGGACGCCGAAATCGACACGGAGGGTGGTGCTGGCGATGGTGGTTGGGAAAAGGAAAACCCTACTGTGAAAAGTAGGTTCTATACATTTATCAAAGTGTTTCTATCTTTGTCGGTGTTTTTGTTGTGTTTTGAGGTTGTTGCTTATTTTAAAGGTTGGCATTTTAGTGCTCCGCATCTTGAATTATGGGCACCGGCATTTGGGGTTAAGGATGTTTTTGATTGGTTTTATGCTAGATGGGTTTTGGTTCGTGTTGATTATCTTGCTCCACCTTTGCAATTTCTCACAAATGCTTGTATTGTGCTCTTCCTCATTCAGAGTATAGATAGGTTGGTGCTTTGTTTAGGTTGTTTTTGGATCCGGTGTAAGAAAATCAAACCTGTTCCAAAAGGTGGTGGTGGTGGTGTTTCAGATCTTGAATCTGGAGAAAAGGGTTTCTTCCCTATGGTACTTGTTCAGATCCCCATGTGCAATGAGAAAGAGGTAAATTGTAATTATTACAAATTTTACAGTAACATTATATTCCTTATGTTTGTTAAATTTGTTGTTTCTTGCTGTTATATTGATGTCAGGTAATTAATAATGTTTTTGATTTTGTTCTTGTGTTGTGTTTTTAAGGTTTATCAACAATCTATTGCTGCAGTGTGTAATTTGGATTGGCCAAAATCCAATTTTCTGATTCAAGTTCTTGATGATTCGGATGACCCCATAACACAATCGTTGATTAAAGAAGAGGTTCAAAAATGGCAACAAGAAGGTGCCAACATTTTGTACCGACACCGTGTGATTCGAGATGGGTACAAGGCTGGTAATCTGAAATCTGCAATGAATTGTAGCTATGTGAAGGATTATGAATTTGTTACAATTTTTGATGCCGACTTTCAACCTACCCCTGATTTCCTTAAAAAAACTGTTCCTCATTTTAAGGTACTACTAAATACTAAATTGTTTGATGATTCATTTAGGTTACTTTTTAGCTTTTGTCGTTGTTGAATTATTGATATATGTTGTCGTGTAGCTTGAGGAAATCATGGTAGATTTGTCATGTGTTTGTTATTATATGGTTAATAATTAATTAATTAATTATTGATTGGATTTGGATTTGGATTTGGATCCACTTGGTGATACTGCAGGATAATGACGAATTAGGACTTGTTCAAGCTAGATGGTCTTTTGTGAACAAAGATGAAAACCTTTTAACAAGGTTGCAGAATATTAATTTGTCTTTCCATTTTGAAGTGGAGCAACAAGTGAATGGTGTTTTCCTTAATTTCTTTGGCTTCAATGGAACGGCTGGAGTTTGGAGAATAAAAGCTTTGGAAGAAGCCGGTGGTTGGTTGGAGAGGACCACTGTGGAGGATATGGACATTGCCGTTCGAGCTCATCTCCATGGTTGGAAATTCATTTTCCTAAATGATGTTGAGGTAATGCAGACAAAAACATTGATTCATAAACCAAGTATTTGTTTTGTTTATCTTGGATAATTCATTTTCTGATTCAAAGTTGTTAACGCTTCTTCCAGTGCCAATGTGAGTTACCTGAATCTTATGAAGCTTACAGAAAGCAGCAGCATAGATGGCATTCTGGGCCAATGCAGTTGTTTCGCCTTTGTTTGCCCGACGTCATACGAGCAAAGGTGTGTATCTCAATTCTTAGTCATATGGAAATTCATCATTTTGGTCTTTAAATGTGTGAGGCGTTGCATCATAATTACCAAAAACATACATAAATGTGTCTTTCGTCAGTTTGGTCCTCGAACACGTCTTTTTGTTGATTAGTTTGATCCTCAAATATGTATTCTGTTAGTCAATTTAGTCGGTAAAATTACCAACAAAACACACTTGGGGTGTTCTTGTAATTTAAATACATCCGGGACTACAATGATAGCGGCTTCCACATTTAGGCGACATCTTAATGTTACATTTGTGCTTATTATGTATGTACATTGTGTTTCTTTGTTGCAGATAAGCATATGGAAGAAATTCAACATGATATTTCTCTTTTTCCTTCTTAGAAAACTGGTGTTACCATTCTACTCATTCACCCTGTTCTGCATAATTCTACCCATGACAATGTTCGTGCCGGAGGCTGAAATTCCTGCCTGGGTTGTTTGTTACATCCCAGCAGTCATGTCATTTCTCAACATTCTTCCAGCACCAAAAGCTTTTCCCTTCATAGTCCCTTACCTCCTATTTGAGAACACCATGTCAGTCACAAAATTCAATGCCATGATCTCAGGCCTGTTCCAGCTCGGAAGCGCGTACGAATGGGTCGTCACTAAGAAATCCGGCCGTTCATCAGAGGGCGATCTAGTTTCCTTGGTCGAGAAACCAAAGCATCAAAGAGGGTCATCAGCACCTGATCTCGAGGAAATGAAAGAAGAAATTAGGAAACAAGAAGAAAAGGTGACGAAGAAAAAGAAGAAACATAACAAAATGTATATGAAGGAACTTGCTTTGGCTTGTTTACTCTTAACAGCTTCAGCAAGAAGTCTCCTTTCAGCTCAAGGAATTCACTTCTACTTCTTGTTATTCCAAGGAGTATCATTCCTTTTGGTGGGTCTAGATTTGATTGGTGAACAAGTAGACTGAGAAAAAAAAAAGCAATATCAGAGTAATAATTGGAATCTGTACAATGTAGAGAGAAACATGCATGAGGAGTTGATAAGTTATATACAAGGCAAAAAGCAAAGGCTCTATGAATCATGGAGGCAACAATTTATTGGGAGGGCTTAGAAAGTGCTGCATCTTTTGCTTGCTCATGCTTCTCACTTCAGGCTCGTTAATTCAATTCAACTCAATCAAATCTGGGAGTACAGTCTGTTATTGTCATCACCATGGATTGAAAAAGAAGATTTTGATGCCTTTTTCATTCAGAATGTGTATGTTTTACCTTTTTTTTTTCTAATTCATTTTTGTAATTTATGTGGATTTTTTCTTGATGGATCATTCTTTTTCTGTAAGAAAATTTGTGGTTCAAAACTTTTACTGACAGGAACAAAAGAAACATTATTCTCTACCGCTTTGTATGCAGATATAATACTTTACTAATTAAAGTTGATTATTCTTGTTAAATCTTAAAATGGGACTAGTAGGAGTAATAATAAAGAATTTGAGTTAGTTTTGTTGAGTTGTAGATAAAATGAGGAAAGCACCGATAGCAATTGAAATTTGAAAGTGGTCCTATCCTAGCTTTTATTTTGCCACTAGTGTTTTGTTGCACTCATTTACTTGAAACACAGTGAAACTGTGATGATGATTCTGATGAATGTGTCAGTGAGTTTTTGAGTATGTGGAGTGAGTTTTCGAAGTTTAATTTGAAGTGCACCGATAGAAAGGGACCATGCACATTTTTAGGGACAACAAGTACTGCTACGTAAATATAGTTTGAGACAAGCAAAACATGTGAAAACAATAAATAGATGGTGTAATTTCGTGGCTAGGTTGGTCTGGTAGCACGTGGATGCAAGGTTCATTTGTATAAATAACTCTATGGTTTGGTTTGGTTACAGGGTAGTGTAGTATCCTCAAGAAATCCTATGTTCTACTACCGGTTGTTAGACAACTGTACTATCCTGTCTGGTTGAGGCCTGATGGATCACATGATATGTTTTGTTTTTTTAGAGGAAATGTGATTAACTCATTGCAGCATAGACCAAACGATCAAGAAATATAGGTACATATAGGCATAGCATCAGCCTCATCTTTACTACATATATCATTCTCAATAATAACATCAATATAAACATGAGGAATGACAATTCAATGAGCGCTGATGTGCAATGTTTCTAAAATGTTTGGATTGATGGTATGGGATGATGATGTGCAATGTTTCTAAAATGTTTGGATTGATGGTATGTGATGAAAAAGTGGTAAATAACACGAATATATTATTTGAATTTGTAAATAATGGATAGAATGAAGTAGAATATGATGAAATCTATTCTATTTTTCATTCCACTCGATTTGGAGTGTATGCAATGAAATGCAATTTTGATAGATTCGATTTCGTTCTATTATGTTTCATTATGCTCTGCTCCATCAATTCAAACATAAACATAATGTCATGATTTAAATTATCTGGTAAATGATAGGATTATTGTATAAAAGGTCACCGAATATGATAAAATTCCTTTAGTGTTATTTTAGGGTGTAAGACCAACTCCAACGATTGGTTTCTCACAAGTTGATTCAGCATGACAAACAAAAAAATGTAGTTCAAAAAATATAGTTTCATAAGTTGACCATGGTGTCAAACATAGTAATGCATGCTTGCATGAAATAATAATATGATTGAAAAGTAACTCCCATTTAATAATAATAAAACTAAAAAAGGTAACTTAATAATCGAAAATTAACTCACATTAAATAATAATAAATTTAATTTGAATTTTAAATAATTTAAATTATTATTTTAAATAAAGTAAAATTTATAAATAAAATAAAGTTGTGACACTCCATATGAGTTTTTTAAAGTTGTATTATTAGAATAAAAATTGAATGAGTTATTTGAAGATAATGTGTTTTAATGGATCTCTCAAAAAATCCAAAAATAAATTGGACTATTAGAGGTGCTTTAAGAGAACTTATCCTATATGCGGAAAGTTTTGTGAAGTTATGTATTGACATTAAGTCATTTGTGAAATTAGAGCACTTGATCATAGAGGGAAGTTTTGTGAAGTATACTACTCTTTTATATCTTAGAATTATAATGGACTGGTTAGGAACAATTTTTATCTCCTCAAATTCAAATTCGAAATTTTAAATAATTTTCCTCTGCCTCAAAGTCAAACGAAGATGAAGAATTAAAACCCATCTCGTTTCAAACAAATTCGAATTGGGTTCAGATATCATTGCCCCGCTATCATCCAGCAAAATTAACCTTTTTAATTAAAATATTAAAAAAAAATCAAATTATACTACAAATAATAAAATAAAACAATTTCGAAAAATTTCATACATACATTTTAAATATTTTAAATAATTAATACAACTTAAAATATCAAAATATTGATCACATATTTAATATTTTAAATTAATAAAACAAAATAATAATGTACATAATGAAATAAATGAGACGAATTCGGAGTTGGTACTAGTATCTCTATTACTCGACTCCTCATCGTATTTTTTAATTAGAAAAAACTCAATAAAAACAAATTTTTCTCGACAATTTTAAAACAGGTTCAGATGAATACTCATGAATAAGAGTTATCATACCTATTTATATCATTTAAAAGACCGAATTTATTTACGCTCACTTTATCTAAGAATAAATTTTAACAATTGCTATGGAAGTTTCTTCAATGCGGATGATCTTCTATAAATATCTTATTCAAGAAGTAAGAAGGATTTAACAAAAATGATATGGTAGTTGAAGAACCATATCACGCTTAAGAGGTTCTTCCTGACCAAACTACTCAAATTCTCCTAACGATGCTCAAGCTTACAAGTTTACTTAAACATCAACTTTTGAAATTATTTTTATTAAAAATGATCTTACTTAACCTTATAGAAATATTTGTTATTTTTATTAAAGACGATCCTACATAACCTTATAGAAGTATATTTAAGACATACTTAAGATTAACGCTGCCAACACAACCGCTCAACTTGACAACACTAACCACGATCAACAAAGTTTCCATAAAAGAAACCTTACAACACATTATGTATAGATTACCCAAATTTAAGGATAGCTATATTTGTTGTTTTGTTGTTTTCATATTGTTTTTTGCTTTGTTTATTTTCTTTATGCTACTCTATTTTTGTTGTTTTATTCTTGCTTTAATAAAATATTTTGTCTTTACAATCTATTATTTTTATTTTATTATTATTATTATTATTATTTTCATTTCATGATATATATATATATATATATATATATATATATATATATATATATATATATATATATATATATATATATATATATATATATATATATATATATATATATATATATATATATATATATATATATATATATATATATATATATATATATATATATATATATATATATATATATATATATATATATATATATATATATATATATATATATATATATATATATATATATATATATATATATATATATATATATATATATATATAATACAAAAAGAGGAAAAAGATTATTTGATTTTAAAGGGAGATATTTATTCCGATAATTGCTCACTATGCCAAAAAAAGTTTTTAGCAACGTTTTTTTTTGTCCTTTAGCAGCGCTGCTAAAGGTAAAGACAACGCTTTTTTAAAGTAAAAAGTGCTACTATATGCCCACTTTTAGCAGCGCTTTTTAAGATAATCGCTCTCTTTCCTCCCTTTTAGCAGCGCTTTTAGAAGCGCTCTCTAAAGTATATTTTCTTAATACCTTTAGCAGCGTTTTTTTATTAAAAGTGCTCTCTATTCCTCCACCTTTAGCAGCGCTTTTTAAAGCGCTCTCTAAAATGTATTTGCTGAATACATATAACAGCGCTTTTCTTAAGAAAAGCGTTGCCTTTTTCCCCCTTTTAGCAGCGTTTTTTTAAGCGCTCTCTTTTCTACACCCTATAACAACGCTTTCAGAAGCGCTATCTCCCCCCCCCCCTTTTAGCAACGCTTTTTCAAGAAAAGTGCAGCCTTTTCTTCACGTCATTGAATTTTTTTTTCAAAAAAATCACTTTTTCATAGGTTTTTTTTGGTAAAACCGTTGTCTATTTTGCATATTTTTATGAAGTGATTTTTGTTGAATTCTGTTGCACAATTCTTTATAATTTTTCACATAAATCTGCTTATAACAATTATATTCACCACAAGCCTTTATTTCAACACTTTGGCCATATATATACCATAACAATTCAACACATAAACCTGTTTATAATCATTGTAATTCAACACAAGCCTTTATTTCAACACACACACACACACACACACACACACACACACACACACACACACACAGATATATATATATATATATATATATATATATATATATATATATATATATATATATATATATAAATATAAAATATTATAATTCAACAGAAACGATTCATAATTCTAAAATATATTCCAAAACTGATAACTTCACAAATATATTCATTATACATATAATTATAAATTCCATATTTCCGGATCCTCACAACAACTAGCTTCTAGAAGTATATCAACAAATTCCAAAACTATAATTATCTAGTAGTATGTACATAACATCACAACAACACAAATCTCTATAAACTCCGATCAAAAGAGAAAGACAATATATATACCTTATACAATTCTCATCTCAAGAATGTATTGACACCTGTCAATGTAGGTGGAGCTCTACCTTGTTCTGAATTTCCATTGAATGCTTTTCTCCGTCCACGACAATGATGATTAGAATTTAAGAATCTACGATGACCAAGAAAGACATTCTTCTGACCAAATTCCAATCGCGTCTAATCTGTGTTTTCTTCACAGATAGGACACGCACATTGACCTTTAATGCTATACCCCGATAGATTTCTATATGTTGGAAAATCATTAATTGTGCCAAACAAAATCGCCCTCAAATTGAAACTTTCTTTCCTATATCCATCATAAACCTCCACACCGTTCTC